CGCCCCCAGCCAGTCACTGACTGCCCGATAGCAAACCTGGGAAGGGGACAGGGAGAAGGACATCACTTCAAGCACCCACCGGCAACTAAACCTGGCTCGGCTGGATTTATACGTCTGGGATGCTCTGAAGTGCAATGCCAAAGCTCTGCCTCGAGCCCACGCCTGCTGCAGTAAGCTGTTGAGCTTCTCTGGAGGACAACTGTACCACCCTTGTTACAGGAGCTGCCCGGGTGGATCATGCCCATCAGGTACAAACACAACTCACTCATTCAGCGTGACCTGCCAGTAGAGCTCCTGGGTCACTGGTGCCCATGCAATGTCCCCAGAGTAGAGCTGAGGGTCAACTCCTCCAAGAATGAGCTCTCCTCCATAATAGTAGGTGGGATGGCTGCAAAAACACGGAGTTACAGCAGTAGAAATGGGTAAATCAGTGCAACGTGCATGGGGTAGTGAGGGACAAACCCAACAGGCAGCTGCATGGGCACAGGCAGAGGGACACTGGTGCATTGGGATGTGTGGGCTTTTTACCGGGAGAAGTAGAAGCTGAAGATGGGCTGGGAGAGCTGGTTCTGCTCCAGCATTCCCTGCAGCGCGGTGGGTGTCCCTCCTACTGCCAGCGAGGGGTAGGCCATTCCCAGGATCCCATCAAAATCCGCATAGTAGAAAGGCTGCGTCGGCTCGTTCTCGCTGAGCCCGAACTCCTGGTTTGTGACCGTGATGCTCTGGATCTGGAGGGGAGGAGATGCCGGTCAGCCTGCACGCTTAGGGAACCCAAACGGTGCTTGGGTGGGATGATGGATGCTCTGAAAGCCCAAGGAGCCAAGTGCAAGGTCATTGCTGGTGGAAACATCACCAGGCAGCTGGGAAATCAGCAGCAATTGGATTAAAACCAAGTTAAACCCCAGCTGGGTAACTGATAGTGGCAATAACTGGGGACACAGCGGCCAGGAAGACGAGGGCATCACGAGTGCACTCACCCTTAGTGTGTCATAGCCCAACGTCACCGTGAGTGTGCCACTGCCATAGGAGAGGGTGTAGGACTGGCCATTACTGACGAAGGTGGAGGACTCACTGGGACTGAACTTCATGTGGTTGGCTGCATGAGAGAGAAGAGGGCAAAGCTCCTGGGTACACACTCGCTGGGCTGCGATGGGGTCTCAATGGCAGTCGCTCTGCCAGGATAATGCCTGGGAAAGCAGCTTCTCCCACAGAGAGCAGGTCTAGAAGAGCAGAACAGGCTGTTCCTCTGCCTCACAGTCCTCTGAAGCATGGTTTGCATCCCAGTTTTGCCTGCATCCCTCTGCAGGGAACAGACATAATCCCAACCATACCAGCCACCCAGCGTGAGCAAAGCCATCAGCAGTTACAACCCCATCGCTCTCCCATCAGCAGCAAGTGACATCGGGTGAGTTCTGCCAGGGAGAAGGACAGCAGCCCCATGATTCACAGCTTTGCTTTTTCCTTCACCTGGGGACACCCTCCACTAGAGCAGGTTGCTCCAAGCCCCTGTGTCCAACCTGGCCTTGAACACTGCCAGGGATGGGGCAGCCACAGCTTCTCTGGGCACCCTGGGCCAGCGCCTCAGCACCCTCACAGGGAAGAGCTTCTGCCTCAGAGCTCATCTCAATCTCCCCTCTGGCAGGTTAAAGCCATTCCCCTTGTCCTGTCCCTCCATCCCTTGTCCAAAGCCCCTCTCCAGGTTTCCTGGAGCCCCTTTAGGCCCTGGAGCTGCTCTAAGGTGTCCCCTTGAGGAGCCTTCTCTTCTCCAGCTGCCCCAGCCCAGCTGCTGGGAGCTGTGTGCCACGTGGCTCTGGTACTCACAGCACGCCGGGGTCTGGCAGTAGGTGGAGGGCACCCAGAGGTTGGAGGAGCCGGTGTCGAAGAGCACTGTGAAGTTCTGGGGGGGGTCCCCGATGCTGATCTCCCCAAAGTAGTAGGACTGCAGACAAGAGAATGGGAAACTCCATTGGCTACAGGATCAGGCATCCGAGTGTATTGCAGGAGGGTACAGGGGGAATGCCAGGCTCCCTCTTGCAGACAATGAAGTAGGGATGGACTGAACTCTCACCCTGCTTTTTCTCCAGAAGGATGTAATATTAACTATGTGTTTTGTTATATCTTTTGTTTCACATAGAAAAACCTCGTTTTTCATGTCTGGGGGAAACTCTACAGCCTAAAGTAGAAGCTTAAAGAAGAGCGGAAAAATCCATCTCTTGCTCCTGGAGGCCTGGGGTGAACAGATCCCAGGCAGCTGGGAAGGAGCAGGGAAAGGGGATGCACATGGTAGACAGACAGGCAGTGGTACTCACATCCAGATGGCTGGTTATGGGCTCATACACCACAAAGCCCTCTCTGAAGTGGTGTTTCTTAGCTGCATGATGTTTAATTTTCCTCAGGTAGTCCTCCAACACTCCAGCCTCCCTCATGTTCTCCCGGATAGACTTGCCTTTCTTCAGTTTGATTCTGCACAGAGGGAAAAATCAAACCAAACCAACAAAACACAGCAGGAAATCAGGAGATTTGGGCATTGCCAGGTTATGTCTGAGCCCT